CAGAGTCTATTGTCTGAGTCACCACTGGATTGCTGGGGAAGTCCCTCTTTTTACTTCTTATTGAGTGCTTCCTCTTTCCTTCCATGTCTGACATCACAGTGCTATTCCTCTGCCCTGAACCAAGATCACCTTGGACAATCATTAGTTTCTTCTTTATGAAACCTTTCTCAACTGAAAGAAGTTAGCTCATAATCTTCTTCTCCTTCATGAGGCTGGCCAGAAGGCCACATGGCCCAGGATGGAGGCTCCTTGACTTGGTTCTATCTTCAGCGCTTGCCAGACAGATCACATTTGTTCTATGGAAGCATTGCTGTACCAAGGCCATGTTATCTCTCTACATATAGGTCTACGATCACTGACTGATCAGTGATCAGTCACTTATCCTCTTTTTCCATTTTTATTTATTTATTTATTTATTTAGGTCACACCTTGAGGCATGTTGGAGAAGGCAATGGCAACCCACTCCAGTACTCTTGCCTGGAAAATCTCATGGATGGAGGAGCCTGGTAGGCTGCAGTCCATGGGGTCGCTAAGAGTCGGACATGGCTGAGCGACTTCACTTGCACTTTGAGGCATGTAGTATCTTAACTCCCCAAGCAGGGATTGAAACTGTATCCACTGCAGGTAGAGGTGGAGTCTTAACCACTGGAAAGTGTGAAAGTGTTATTCGCTCAGTTGTGTCTGACTCTTTGGAATAAAACTTCTGGCAATCATGACTTTTTTCTAGCTTATATAGCAGGTATGGCAATTCATATAAAGAAACATAAACTGGGTGGTTCAGAGAGAAAAATTACAAAGAGCTCAGAGCGGGGAGGGCTTCCCCGGTGGCTCAGGTGGTAAAGAATCCACCTGCCAGTGCTGCAGATGAGAGAGACATGGGTTCCATCCCTGGGTTGGGAAGATCCCCTGGGGGAGGGCACGGCAAACTGCTCCAGAGGAGCCTGGTGGGCTACAGTCCATGGGGTTGCAAAGATAGGATACAACTGAGCATACATGCACACACACAAGAAAGGGGAGATGATTGTTCCCCAAAAACTCTTCCAGAGGGGCCTAAGAACAATGGGTGGGGGGTGGGGGGTGGGGGGTGGAGGGGATGGGTTTTTTTCAAATGGATTAGACCATAGAATTTAAAGGTATATTACATTAGGTTTCTTTAATTTATATATATATATATATATCACCTCTTTTTTGGATTTTTTTTTTCCCATTTAGGTCACCACAGAGCACTGAATAGAGTTCCCTGTGCCATACAGTAGGTTCTCATTAGTTGCCTATTTTATCCACATTAGGCTTCCAAGTGAAAAGAAGTGAATGTGTTTGTAAAGTTACCTTCTTGGGATACCTTTGAACAAGGCATATCACTTAAAAAGCAGTGAACCCCTATGTCTCCTGGCTGTGCCTAAGCACCTAAGAGGCGCTGCTGACTCGCCTTTCTTTTCTTTTCCAGATCTTGGCTATCGTGTCCATCTTGTTCATCGTCCTCTCCACCATCGCGCTGTCTCTGAACACGCTGCCAGAGCTGCAGGAGATGGATGAATTCGGACAGCCCAATGACAACCCCCAGCTGGCCCACGTGGAGGCCGTGTGTATCGCCTGGTTTACCATGGAGTACCTTTTACGGTTCCTGTCCTCACCCAACAAATGGAAGTTCTTCAAAGGCCCGCTGAACGTTATCGACTTGCTGGCCATCTTGCCCTACTACGTCACCATCTTCCTCACCGAGTCCAACAAGAGTGTGCTGCAGTTCCAGAACGTTCGCCGCGTGGTCCAGATCTTCCGGATCATGCGGATCCTCCGGATCCTGAAACTCGCTCGGCACTCGACGGGCCTGCAGTCCCTGGGCTTCACCCTCAGGCGGAGTTACAATGAACTGGGCTTGCTGATCTTGTTTCTGGCCATGGGGATAATGATATTCTCCAGCCTAGTATTTTTTGCCGAGAAGGACGAGGATGCTACCAAGTTCACCAGTATCCCGGCTTCCTTTTGGTGGGCCACCATCACCATGACGACTGTCGGTTATGGAGACATTTACCCAAAAACGTTATTAGGGAAAATTGTGGGAGGTCTCTGCTGTATCGCAGGGGTTCTAGTGATCGCCCTTCCCATCCCAATCATTGTGAACAATTTTTCTGAGTTTTACAAGGAGCAGAAACGCCAGGAGAAAGCCATTAAGAGGAGAGAGGCTCTGGAGCGCGCCAAGAGGAACGGAAGTATCGTGTCTATGAACTTAAAGGACGCCTTTGCTCGAAGTATGGAGCTGATAGACGTGGCCGTAGAGAAGACGGGAGAGTCGGCCAACACCAAGGGCTCCACAGATGACAATCACCTCTCTCCAAGCCGGTGGAAGTGGGCCAGGAAGGCTCTGTCGGAAACCAGCTCCAACAAGTCTTATGAGAATAAGTACCAGGAGGTCAGTCAGAAAGACTCCCATGAACAGCTGAACAACACTTCTTCCTCCAGCCCGCAGCATCTGAGCGCCCAGAAGCTGGAGATGCTGTACAATGAAATCACCAAGACGCAGCCTCACTCTCACCCGAACCCCAATAGCCAGGAGCAGGCCGAGAGGCCGTCCGCCTACGAGGAAGAGATAGAGATGGAGGAGGTGGTCTGCCCGCAGGAGCAGCTGGCGGTGGCACAGACCGAGGGCGTCGTGGACATGAAGAGCACATCCAGTATCGACAGCTTCACCAGCTGCGCCACCGACTTCACGGAGACGGAGAGGTCGCCCCTGCCGCCGCCCTCCGCGTCCCACCTGCAGATGAAGTTCCCACCCGACCTCGCCGGGATAGAAGAGCACCAAAGAGCCAGGGGCCCCCCCTTCTTAGCCCTAATCAGGGAGAAGGGGCCCGCGGCCAGGGAGGCCACTCCAGAATATGCTCCGATCGACATAACTGTGAACCTCGACGCCGCCGGCGGGCCCCAGGGTGGGCCCCACGGCCCCCTGCCGACGGACAGTGCCTCTGAGAGCCCCAAAAGCTCGCTAAAAGGCAGCAACCCGCTCAAGTCCAGATCGCTCAAGGTCAACTTCAAGGACAGCAGAGGCGGAGCCCCGCCAACCCCGCCCAGCACAGCCAGGCCGCTGCCGGTCACCGCGGCGGACTTTCCACTCACCGCCCCCCAGCTCATCAGCACCATCCTCTTAGAAGAAACCCCCTCCCAGGGAGATAGACCCTTGCTGGGCGCTGAGGTTCATTGTCAAGGACCCTCCAAAGGGCTGCCGCCTCGGTTTCCCAAGCAGAAACTCTTTACTTTCTCCACCAGAGAGAGGAGGAGCTTCACGGAAATCGACACGGGGGAAGATGATGACTTCTTAGAGCTCCAGGGGACCACGAGGCGGGACAAGCAGGCAGACTCCAGCCCAAACTGCTTGACAGATAAGCCTAGTGATGGAAGAGACCCTTTAAGAGAAGAGGCCTGTGTGGGCTCTTCCTCTGCCCAGGACACAAGTCACAACTGTAGACAAGATGTTTACCATGGTGTGGCAGAAGTGAAAAAGGACAACAGTCAAGAAGGGTGCAAGATGGAAAACCATTTGTTTGCCCCAGAAATTCATTCCAACCCGGGAGACACAGGTTACTGCCCCACACGTGAAACCAGCATGTGACTAGTTACAAAAGCAATAATAACACTAACACTAAAACAAACAAACAAAAAAAAAACTTGTTTCTTAAAAATGCGGTTAATAATGCCTGTGAACTAAAAGGTGGGAAGCCCCTCCCTCCCAAAAAAAGTGCATAAAATGTTATTTTTGCATGGCATGAACAGTTTAGTTTCAGTACTGTTTAAATAAAGAATCAAGACTCCATTTTTGTAACAAACAAGAATGACTGAAGAACACTGAACAAATAAAGAGAGCTCTATTAGGAACCGTATTCTGCCATGTCTGACATTTTTGATCCTTTCATTTCAAATTACAGAGTTTCGACTGTGAGCTTTTCTGTTATGATGAATTTTAGAATTTGCACATGAAAGGATGAAATGTCATTGCATGCGTTCATAATTGCGAGGTGCAAGGTGCTTTGAGCTTGCAAAATGCATAACTTTGTAAATAATGGGGCTTGGGATGCAGAAGTGTCAAGAACAGACGGAAACAAGTTTCTGAGACACAGGCACTTCCTTCATAGCTACTGCCTGGAGGAGCTGTACAGACTTCTTGTTGCAAAACTGCAACCTCTTCTTAAACCATCTCACATATCTTGCTTTGGGTTATAAAGCTATTATAAGTACATTTGTTTAAAGGAATACAGTATTTTTATTGACTGATGATATGACTCATAGGGTGCATTTTTCTTTTTTGCTTCTGCTTAGTTGTGGCATTTGTGGTTTTATTTATAAATCATGAATAAAATAGGCAAGATGTAATGACCAGATATCCAAAAACTTGAAATTGAGGCTTAAAATTTTGCCAGTCAATTACATATCCCTAATATTGTGGGGGAAAGTATGTATCATGTCACAGCCTGTACAGAGATGCATTTTTTAAAAATCTGAACATACTTAAAAGGTGATATTACACAACTAAACTTTTTTTTAATCGCACTCCACTTTTGTAAATCAGTTCTTTAAAAAACAAAAACAAAAGCTATATATTGGCCACCTAAAGATGACTATTTTCCACTTGTATCCAACATAACCTTTTCTGTCTAAAAACCTAAAGATAGAATGTACATATGCCAAAATGGGAATTCCAAAAAGTGACTTTTGGCAAACTAAAAGCAGAGCTATTTAAGTCAGACTGCCACCCCACCCACCCCGACCACATAGATAGAGGTGAGTTTGGAAATGAGTTACCTAGAAAGAACCCTGCCCTGATAATGGATCTCAGTATTTCCCAGTGTGACGAGGGAACACGGCCAGGTGAGGGGGGCTGCAAACGCCAGCAGCACCATCCTGTAATTCCAGCACCTAGAAACACACCCTCACGTTTCCAGCGCCCCCAAGTGGTGGAGGATTGAAAGCAATATTTCCACCACTTTTACTGAGAGCCGTGAAATGCACAGATGTTAGGGCAGTTGGCGCTCAGTTCTAGTGGTAAAGAATTCGCCTGCCAATGCAGGAGACGCAAGAGACGCAGGTCGATCCCTGGGTCGGAAGATCCCCTGGAGGTGGAAATGGCAATTCACTCCAGTTTTTTGCCTGGAAAATTCCGTGGACAGAGGAGCCTAGCCGGCTACAGTCCATGGGCTGGCAAAGAGTTGGACATGCCTGAGTGTCATGTCAACACACAAACACACACAGGGTATTTGCTGGTGGCTGCCTTGTTGGTTAAGACTGTGCTAGAAGCCAGTTCATTTGGATCCACTTTGCATTACAGGAAATCAAAGCTCTAGCTCCAGAAATCTAACTACCTGCTGGGTAATCCTGAGTAAATCTTGAAAACCTCTCTTAGCCTGTTTTACTCCAATAAAAACTAAGACAAACTATTTGTAAGTTACCTTAAGAGTTCAAATTAATGTGATTGCTTGAGCTCTCAGGAATGTCCAAGTTTTGCCTCCGAATCATACATTTTGTATGTGTGTTGGATGTGTGGGTGGGTGTGGGTGCAGGTGTATAGTTCAGGGAAACAGGAAAATTCTGGGACAAATTTAAAGCACAATTTTTTGTTTAAGGAAAAACATTCCAAATTTTATCCTATATTTTAAAGGAAAAAACACATCAGAAAAAGACAACCCAAATATTTAGAATCTAACTTAAGGCTTTAAGGAATAACATGTCTTTATTAACAAAATCTGGTCATTATATCTTGGATAAGAAAACCAGGATGGTTCTTAGTTGAAATCCAAGAACTGCTAAAAATAATTTTAAGCATTTTTTCATTGTTCTTATTAGAGTTTCCTAATGGTTTTTATGTTTGTTTCAAAACACAACTTTTAAGAGTATATGGTCATTAATCATTGATATTTACATTAGTCATACTTATTTCAGTGTCTAAAACTACATATTGCTCAGTTTTTGTAAAACTAGAGTGTCTGACTTTTCTATATATAGTTTTTCAAGTAAACAGATATATCTGCTGTTAGATGAATAGCAAATAAGTCATGAAAATTATTTTCTTTACATAGTCTCATGAAGCAGTTATTTTCTGATGTCTCTGTATTGATGAATCTCGTTTTTTAAAATTTATCTGATAGTTTACTAATGCCAACCTGTCTTGTGTCCATTAGGCCTTCTACCTGAGAATCCTGCTCCAGAATGCTTAATATTAAAAATCTTTCCTAGATAAGGAATTCTAGACATATCCCCCAAAACATTTCTCCCTAAAACTTTTTTCTGTTAATATTATTTTTTTTAAGTTTTAAAGAATTTTGGAGAATCTCCTATGGAAAATTTAACCTTCAATTCTTCTTAGCCCCTCTGAGCCAAACGTCTTTGGCTAGGAAAAAATAAAATAAAACATTCCTCAAAAAAACCCACAAAAACACAACTTTTGACTTTGTCGTTTCGCAAGAAAGCACCAAGGGTTCCCAGAAGCTCTTGTGCAGTGCGTCCTAAACCTTTTCAGTGAACTAACTGCCTCTAATTCACAGGATGAACGTATTTGCCTAGACTGGTCTGGGAATATACCAAGCACAGAGATCTTGCAAAGTCTTATGTTTTATGTTAAAAAGTCATGAAAATGCTGCATTTTACTTCATAGCATATGCTTCAATATAAAAGAGTTGTTTTTTCTTACAGTACTCACCAACTACTGAAATGGATACTCACTTAACTTTACATACCTCTTTTTGTATTCCCTGGAAAACACACCCCCAGTTTGAGAAGCACTGCTTGAGTGGCAGGGACACAGACTAACTCCCTGAGGGACCCTGGAGGTTTCCGCTGCTGGGAGAGCCCACTCAGTATCACCTAGCTCAGTGACTAGGGACAAACATCAATGAGGAAAGGCTATTTGAAAGAACTCAAAATAACACAGTCCCAGGTGTAGTTAATTCAGTTCTGCTGACCATCCTAATGGATATAAATTGCCACAAGATTGTTTTAACTCAAAACTTGAAATTGATCATAAGAGAATAGAAATGGGTATGTGGATATACATCTTGGGCTGGATCACAAATGCAAGAGTGACACCCAGACTCCCTAGAGTTCATTTAATTAGTTTCTAAACATTTCCACTAGAAATTTCTTCACTGGGGCACAGCCAGCAGCTTTGAAGCAAGCATTGAGATCTAGCACTATACTGATATGAACTGGATCTGGTAACAAGAAGAGGATGTGCTGAGTGTCTGTCCCCATTCATTTCCTGTCAAACGCGTCTTAGTCGTGTAGACATGAGGAAAGTCAACAACTCAACTATTTTCTCTTGAAATTTGAAAAGAAAAAAGTGTGTAGAATATTTTAGAGTTTTTGGTCATGTTTAATCCTCACAACAGCCGCCTTCTGAATCAGGTGTTACTTATCAATAGAAAACCAGGGAAGTTATGAATCTTGTTCAGATTCACACTTGAACTTGATGAAGAGTAGAACGAGACCCCATTCACATCCTGTGGCTTCATGTCCAGTGTTCCAGTGAACTACAGGAAAGTCTGTTTAGTTAAGGAGTGTTTTTTCTCTGTTAATATTCGAAATAATGACAATAAAAACAGAGGTGTATTTATCGTTACACAGTTTGTTTAAAGCAGCAGTGGATCATGCCAAATGCTAATGACTTGAGATAAATGACATTGATTGTCTTTAGCACATACATTTGCCCTTTTGGAATTCTGGTCATAAGATACACATCTCTGGATTAAAGAGAAGAATTTATTATTCATGACATAACATGATATACACATTAGCAAAGACTGAAGGAAGTCACTGATTTTCTAGGAAAAAAAAATAAAGAACTTTAGAATGGCTGAATCTAAGTTCAAAAATACTGTCTAATAGAAGTTGATTGGCGTTTCACCATTCATTCAGTAAATATGAGGTGAGCACTCCTATATTCTATAGAAGGCATTGTGCTTGGTGCTAGGGTACAGCCCCCAGCCTCATGGACTTACTACCCATTTAAAACCAGATTGAGGGGACTTTCCTGGCATCCAGTGGTTAGGATTCCAAGCTTCCTGCACTTCCACTGCAACAGGGACAAGTTCCATGCCATGTCAGGGAACTAAGATCCTTCATGCCATGTGGTGTGGTCAAAAAGTACATAACATTAACAATAATAATAAAACCAGGCTGAGGATCATTTGGGTTACTGGAAAGTATCTCTTCTAAATATGGAAAAATCATTCAGTTATCAAACCAGGAAAGTATATGACAAGAACAAGTAAAATTTTTTTTCCAAAGAACTGTTTTCCTAAGAAATAAATGGATGGTATGAATGGAAGTTTGATGCATAATTATTTCTGAATCACAGTTTAAATTTACAGTTGAGGTAACAAATTGTTAATCTGATTGAGTAAAGCTATGAGTTGTCTTTCCCTATTATCCGGTAAATTGAAAAATAATTCTTAGATATATTATTTGTCAAAGTAGCTAATAATAGTCTATCGCTAATAATATTCTATCACTAATAAGTAGAGCAAAATTTAATACCAGTGAAGAAATCTGTACCAATTTTATATTTTAATAGTTTGTTGATGGTTATTTGGTTAAAAACTAAGCATTTTAATGTTTTTTTCTTACTTCCCATTGACTATAGGCAACATTTTAGCAGTCTATCAATATTCTCTATTTAGTCCTCTGAATTTCTAAATGGAAAGTGTTTAAAATTCAGTAATAAAGAATGGTTTAGCTTGACTCAAGGGATTTACTTACTTAGGTCCATGTGAATTTGAAAATATATTGGGTGTTTTCCCACTTCAACTGCCCTCACCCAAACAGAACTAAAAAAGAAAAGAAAGAAGAGACTACAAAATCTAAATAAAAATTGGAAACACTCGAAGGCCCATCCCTAATAAGAAAGGAAAAAGGTCTCAATTCCAAAATCTTGGTGAACATTCTATATTATTGAAGTTAGCACTTACTGTAATATAATGCTATTCTTTTAGTGATGTCAATTACAATTGCTTCCACTTGACTTTTTAAAATAGCCTGACTTAATTTCATAAACCTGTTTACCATTGCCATTAATGCATAATCTCTTCCTTATTAAGTCTAAAAGGGTTTTAAACTATAAATATACATACAAAGAAAGGAAGGTGGGAAATTCTCTTTAGTAGTGAGACAATCCAAGGCCAGCAAAAGATACTGCTGCTGCTGCTGCTAAGTCGCTTCAGTCGTGTCCGACTCTGTGCGATCCCATAGACGACAGCCCACCAAGCCCCCCCACCAGGCTCCCCCGTCCCTGGGATTCTCCAGGCAAGAACACTGGAGTGGGTTGCCATTTCCTTCTCCAATGCATGAAGGTGAAAAGTGAAAGTGAAGTCACTTAGTCGTGTCCGACTCTTAGCAACCCCATGGACTGCAGCCTACCAGGCTCCTCTGTCCATGAGATTTTCCAGGCAAGAGTACTGGAATGGGGTGACAATTGCCTTCTCCGGCAAAAGATACAAATAACCCCAAAAATGAAGAAGGACTAAGAAATAGGTAGGTAAACTAAATGTGTTTGTAAGCCAAAAAATTTATATTTGGTACGTGTGTGTGTGTGTGTGTGTGTGTGTGGATGTAATTCTTATATGTAACTGAAACTGCTTATTAACATGAAATCTGATCAAGATCATAATTCCAGCTTTAATCTCTCTCCTGAAGAAATTAGTTCTTATTATCTAACAGATATTTCCATATTTCTGGGGTAAAATACTTCATTCAACAAACATTTACTGTCTACCTTATGCCAGAAATTAATTTATGCACAGTTCATTCCCTCAGTTTCACACTTTAGCAGAGATTTCATATTTAAAGAGACTATGTTCCCAAGTGAAATCTAATTCCATAGCTTGAGCTGGAAATAGTATGGCAATATGCTTGAGTTTGTTGTCTGAGAATTTCTGTAATCCACTTTTATTTTTTCTCAGATTCATTATTTATTTTCATTCTTTAGAATCTGAATGACCACCACATAAGCTTTCTAAACATCCATGCTTAAAACTATAGTAGCTGTCTGAAAGTTAGTGATAATTTATTTCAGTGTAGATATTGCCCACTTCAACCAAAAGATATAAGATTCTGACAAAAAACAATGTTGAAAAATCATTGTTTTTATACCCTTTAACTGTTCTGTTTGATTTTGTTTAAATCCTAGCCTGTATGCTGTGGGAGAACCCATCACTACCTGCTGGTAAGGAAAGCTTAATGCCAATCTATCAATGTCGTTTATCTCCCTTACATCGTGGGCAAGCTGGCAAGTGATATAGCTGAATAGCTTTTCTTTCTGTTATTTTTGCTCCATTTCAACCTAAAAAGACTT